CATGCATATTTGAACAGTGTTTTCATTGATTTTCATTTGTTCCAGAGTGTAATGTAATTCCTCCTKAAAAGCAACTTGTTTTCCTCCTTCCTTGCTAACTGAATTAAGTCTAGTAGACTTAATTAAGTCTAGTGGAGATGTTTTGTTTGTCATCCAAAATCAAAAGCTCCTCACTATACCTAAAGGGAGGAGGGCAACCCATTTTTTAAGCAGATGAACTAAGAATATAAAGTGTATCTGAAAAGAAACATATYTGATATAAACAGTATTGTTAAAGTACCTGTTGCAGTGTTATTTGATGCTGACCATTAAAACGTGTTAATGAAAGATAGTTCTGATGGACTGAGCTTGACATTTTTATTTTCCTTACTGAAAATGTAATTTTGAAAATAGAAACTGAAAGTATTTTCTACTAGCAGATTTGTGTGCTCTCTTGTTCTGTTAATCGTTAATGCAGTCCAAATGCTGAACATAACTATTGTTAAACTTCTGGCACTAGTAACTGAAGAATCTTTTGGAAAACTTGAACCCAAGGCATTAGGTTTAAACAGCATAATCAAGTGTAAATTCAGATTTTTTTTCTAATGTTACACTATTATGTCTTTCAGAATACAGTAAAGCAGAAAGCGTTGAGAGTGTTAAAGCAGAAGCGAATGTAAGTTGAAACCTTTTCAGTTTGTGGTTAATAAAAGCCAAAAGTATGTGGTTAATAGAAATGTTTTCTTTAAGGGGTGATGGCACACTTTCATTTCTCTTTCCAGTACTCTCCTGAGCATTCTTTAAAGAAAAATGCTGAMCAAGCCTTTCAGAAGCATCTCCTCACAGATTTCACATCAGCATATTTATGATACATATATCAGTATATAGATTTGGATTGGTACAAGATGACCTAAATCTGCTCAYTATTACAATTATGTCTWGTTCCTAAACTTCCTGAGAGATTGTCTCATTTAATGTTATTATTTGATTACTCTGAATTGTATACTTAATAACCTTACCCTGGTTTACTGGAAATTTACCTGTTTTCTATGGGCACCATTGAGGACTTAAACAGATGTAGTGCAGATGATTGTATCTATGCAAAAAAACCCAAAATGGACAGGATAGATGATCCTGTGGTCTGGTCTTGTCTTGTCTTGTCTAGTGTACTGTCTTGAAAGTGTCCAGCAACAGATCCAAAGGAAAGCATATGAGAACATGGCAAGTGTTCAGGAATGTTACATTGGAATATCTCATAGTCTGTGAACTGCAAATCTTAGAAGCTGCCTGAGCCAAAGCTCCTCTCATCTTGTATCTCATATCCCTCAGATGAATTGTTCCTTTATGGACTCACTCAATTWCTTGTTAAGTATTAGTGAACTCTTACTATCCAAAATATCATATGGCAAGGAATGCAATACCTTAGTTAGATATTGTTAGGAGAGGACTGCTTGATTTTTGGCTTTTTTTTCCTATTTTTTAACTATGCTGCCTGGTCATCTTCCTTGGTGGGAATACTGGCCTCCTCATAATAGGCTACTGTCATATCCATTGGTCATTTCTTTCTGATCTTGTGGAACAGTAATATATGCAGTCAGTTGTCCAGAAGGTTTTGCTTGTGGATCCTCCTTGTCTTTCAAATGTCCTGCTTTGCATGTTAGAAGGACTCATGGTTAAAATTTATACTTTTGTTCTTTGGCTTAACTTGACATAGTTTACATTCTTGAGTTGATACAAATTTAGCTTTGAGAAGGATGATTTCTGGAATTTTAAAGTGTCTCTTTTCTCTGTGGTTAGGGTAGYCTTTGGTACCCTATCCTCCCCCTCCTTCCTGCCCTGAAAAGCTCCAGTGTGGAGCCCTTGTGGTTTGGATAACCTGTCAACTCATCCATTCTCCTTACAACAGTAGTGAGCATGGCATGCATGTGTAGATAAGGTGATTAAACTTTTGCTGTGTCCTCACCTACTTTGTCAGTCCAGGCAAATACGGTGTTGCTGTCAGTTAAAACRAAGCTTAGTTCAGGAATAGCTTTGTCAGCTTGAAATACACAGAAATGCATAATGGTCAGATTTTATGAAGCTGTTTATTCTGCAATTGTGTTTAATAAATGAAAAAAAACCCAAATTTGTTCCTATCTTTAGACTACTGCGGCTGATTTTTCAACTCTTAAAAAATTAGGGAGTTTGTAGTAATAAATAGTGTGGTGTTTTAAAGCCATTATTTGTTTTTTTTTTTAATAGGTATGAACAACAGAGGGATAATCTGTCACAGCAGTCTTTTAATATGGAACAAGCTAATTACACTATTCAGGCACTGAAGGATACAAAGACAACGGTATCAGTTTATTAATCTCACRCTTGTTTTATTTGCTTAATCTGTGYTACATCAGATACAAGCATGATGTTTGACTTCTAGGTGGATGCAATGAAACTGGGGGTGAAAGAGATGAAGAAAGCTTACAAGCAAGTCAAGATTGATCAAATTGAGGTGAGTTTTTRTAATTTAAATTATTAAAGAACAAAATWAATGTTCTGAAATAGTGATRAGTGGACTACGTAACTTGAAAGTAAGATGACTRTTTTAATTCACATGCATTTGTCTTCCTTTTTTATGGAACCGCCATCATAATTCCTTCCTAATTTTTTTGGTGCTGCACAATCAGTTGCTGGCTTTAATGTACTTATTATTGTTTTCTTGCTGAGCTAATCTTTAATCTCTCCTTTCCTTTCCTTTGCACTTCAGCATCAGTGTTAGCGAATACTTCCTGATGTGTTTTTTTTTTCGTTCTTCTTGCTTCCCTCTCCTAGTAACATGCATATTAGTCCTTTACCTTTCTAAAACTAAAAAATCCACTAACCAGATGTCAGCAAGGCCTGGCCCTGACTTCAGAAAACACATAAAACCCCCCCATAAGATCTCTAAATATAATTTCAAATATGCTGCACTTAAGCTCTTATCCAATGCCAGTGCAGAATTCCTTTAAGTTCGGTTTTTCATACGGCCTGCATGGTAAACCTTTAGGCAAGTTATTTCTTCCTTACTTATATTCAAGTTCAGTGCCAATAAGTATGCTAATGTATTGTCTAAATTCTGCTGCGGCACAACTCAGGATAGTGCTTATTTTCCAGATGGTAGATTTAATTTGTCTAACTTTCATACCTTTTCTGCTTTTCAAGTACTCTTGTCCTGAATGTGTGTGTCTTGACTTGTTATTATTGCTGCTTGAAAAAATGGTTTATGCATTAAAAGAATTGAATGCTTTGTATATTGGAATTACTAAACAGAATTTGAAAATGATTCTTGCTTCAGGACATACAAGATCAAYTGGAAGATATGATGGAAGAAGCCAATGAAGTCCAGGAGGCATTGAGTCGTAGCTATGGAACACCAGAGATTGATGAAGATGATTTGGAAGCAGGTTAGGAAGGGGGAGGATGATTTTTTTTTTTTTATTACTGAGTATAAAAATCACCATACTGTCATACAGTGATTTTTAATTTCATTAATCAAATTATTTAAATGTGTTTTAAAAAGCCTTAACAGCTTCTTTTAAAACACTAAAGCTGCATTTCCTTTAAGAGCAGTAATGAGAGCGTGGAATAACCATGAGATGCCAATGGCAGGGAAGAAGGTTCTCTCCAGTGTGYGTGTGCATGTGTGTGAATTTCTGACTGATGACTAAGAGAGCCTGAATTTAATCATTCAATGTGAACCCTGAGTCTGTAAGAGCAGCTTTTCTCATGCAAAAGGGACTTCTTACACAATGTTTCAACCAGTACAATTAAATTTCAGAACTGGATGCATTAGGTGATGAGCTTTTAGCCGATGAAGATAATTCCTACTTAGATGAAGCYGCATCCGCTCCAGCAATTCCAGAGGTCACTCCTACAGACACAAAAAACAAAGTGAGTCCTTTGCTGTTTAACAGCAGATTATGTTTTTGTTCGTTTTGGATTAATTGGTTGCTTGATATTTGGGATCCTTAATATTTGGAACAAAAAAGCGTGTTTAATGTTTTATGTATTTTGGATGATAAATATAGAGAATTTGAGAATACAGTGTACTGAATGCTCTTAATTAAGTTTAAAAGGACTTGAATGACATTTTGTCACTCCTATCAAGTAGTGTCAGACTGCCAGTAAAACTAAGTGTACCATTACAGCTTTACTCTTAAAACCATAATAAAAGCTGTATGTTTGCTCATGGGGCTCTAATAGAGCTTTGTAGTAAGGAAGATCACAAGAACATGCTCTTGTTTTGATTCCAGCTGTCACACAGTGACAATTGCAGATGCAGACGCTTTATAGCAATTCAAAGGAAGCTTCTGTGAAATTATCTGGTCGGGGGAAGAGTTGTTAACCTGTCACTTTTTCTTTCCTACAGGATGGCGTATTGGTGGATGAATTTGGGTTGCCAAAGATCCCTGCAACATAAATGTTTCAAAAGCACAAAGGATACAATGAACTATACTTTTCAAATTGTATTAAGAATTTTTTTTTTATTTTAAATCCTGGAGAATTTGTCTTTCCAGTGTAACCTTAATATCACTACAGTCTAGAATGCAATATGAGTGGCTGGTGGTGTTCTTTGGAGAAAGTTCTACTACTGATCGTTCTTTTAGTGGAAAATTCATCACAGTTCCCTTCAGTGGAAGCAGTCAGTCTGATAGGTTTTGATTTCCGTGTCATATGGACAAAGTAAAACGTGAAGATTAGTGGTGGCTGTCGATAGCTGAGGTTTGACTTCGTATTGTTTCTCTTTCTTGAGACTAAGACTATGCGTTGCTGCTTGTTCTCTGTAAAATAGCTCCCTTATTACAACGCCTATTTGATAAAGAACTGAAAGCAATTTTTAAACTACTGCAGTCTTGAGACTTTTATGCGATTGTACTTGTAACCTCCTTGTAAACTGCTCGGGTTATCATTAACTTTATGTATTCTWTGGAGACATAAAATCACGTAGATTAGCAGATTCCTTTGTGTGGCGTTTTTGGCAGTGAATTCGGTCCGAGGAACGGGGCGGGGGGCAGGTTACAGCATCASGGGGTTTGCCAGAGGCGGAGCCTGGTTCGGGATGGGGAAGAAAAGCCCCGTGTTGGCCAGGCCTGGTTCAGCTGTGTCCGTGTGGAGCTGCTCGGCGGCGCCGCGGGAGGAGCCGCTCGGGAAAGCAGCATTCCCGTTTTCCTGCTGCGGAAGTGACGCGCTCCGGGCGCGCCCCGGCAGCGCCGCGCGCGGTTCCCTGTGGCGGGGCGAGATGGCGGCGCCCGGAGCCCCGGTCACCGTCACCGTCACYTACAGTAAGCGCCCGGGGCACGGGCAGCGGGCGGGGGGCGCATCTCTGGTCGCGGGGTTCCTCCCGGCCCTCCCCTGCCCCGCTGCCCGCCATCCCCGSCCGGGCTGGAGCATCACCGGGCGCTGCGGGGATCGCGGCCCGCGGCTGCACCGGCGGCGGGGGCGAACGGGGGYGGCCTCGGCGGGGCAAGGGGCGGCCCCCGCTCAGCCTGGGCTCCATCCCGGCTGATGCTCCTCATTGATCCCTTTACTGGCCGCGGCTTCCCAGTGTCTCCTCTAGCTGCATCGCAGGCGTAGGTGTGCTGTAAGGGTGACAGTAGGAGCAGGTGACAAGGCGGCTTTTGCTGGAGAGCGCAGAGCAGAGGTCGTCTGGTGGCGACGGGGATCAAGGGAGACTGGAGCATCTCTTAAAAGAAAGAGCTGAGAGTTCTGGGCCTATTCATCCTCGAGGAGAGATGACAGGGGGACCTCAATGATGTGTATAAATATCTGAAGGGGGGATGCCAAGAAATGGAGCCATGCTCTTCTCAGTGGTGCCAAACAATAGGACAAACAAGAGGYAGTGGGCAGAAACGGATGCACAGGAGGTTCCACCTGAATATGACAAAGAACTTTAGTGTGGGGATGACTCTGCTCTGGTGCAGGTTGCCCAGAGAAGTTGCGAAGTCTCCTTGCTGGAGATACTCAAGAATCATCTGACACAATCCCGTGCAGTGTGCTCTGAGATGACCTTGCTTGAGGAGGGCAGATGGACCAGATTACCCACTGTGGTCCCTTCAGCCTGACTCATTCTGTGATTCTGTTGTTTTGGTAATCTTCATTGAGATGAAATATATTGCTGAAGTCGGCACTTCATGTTAAAAGTGGGTGCTACCCAGGGGCTTTTTTCTGGTTTGTTGAAGAGGCTTGAATGTTTGCAGCTCCGAGCTGCAGGTCTGCCACAGACAGTATTTTCATCAGTAGGACAGGTGGGTGTGGACCTGATGGAACGAGTCACTCAAAGGCTAGCTGACATAGATGGGCTTCTTTCCCCCTCAAAAAGAAAAACAGGAGGAGGGAGAAGAAGGTGGAAGGGAAGATGGGCTCGTATCTGCAAATACAAAATATTACTGCAAAAGGGTGAGGAAGCTTGGACTCCACATCTTTAAAATAACATGGGAAACACCATGGTTAAATTTTGAAGTGTATCTAAGTGAGACAGGAGAARTGAAGACTATAGTAAGGTATTAAATCAAAAAAGTATTCTGCTGATTTTTGTTAGCAATACTTACTTGATTTTTATTGGATTCAAAAAAATTTGAATAATAAATTCTGCCTTTGTTCCTTTTGCAGTATTTTGTTGCATTCTTTCCATCTCTAGAGCTTATTGTTTATTTCTGCTTGCTCATTTGTGTTTTCAAATTGTGTTTGAAATTGTTTTGTTAAARTGCTTCCTTTATCACCTGGTAGTTTTGTTCAAGAGTCTTTGGTGAGGAATTTTGCAAAATAATCTGTTTGAATCATCATGATTCATGTGCTCACTGGTGCCTTCAGAGAGCTCAGTTTGATCTGAGGTGTTTTCATTTTGCAAAGATGTCAATAATTTAATGATACTGATATATTTATAATTCCAGCTTCTTGTTTGCCAACAGCCTTATTGTCTGAGAATGTTTTTGTCTTTCCARTTGTTTTCTTATCTGATAGTTACTTTGCTATTAATAAATAGCAAATAGATACCTTTCTTCACTATCTGTTTAATTTATATCTACAGCTGTCAGATTCTGTTTGCCACTTTGCATACAACATTTTTAGTAAAGTTTTGTATGCATGAGTGAAAGTTGGGAAAGATGGAAATTAAGTCTGAGAAATAGATTGACGGTAGACCCACAAGTGTAACTTGACAATTGCTAGTGTCCTGGCTAGAAATCAGGTGTCCAGCAAAGCCACTATGTCRCTCCCCTCCTCAGCTGGGCAGGGGACAGAAAATACCACAAAAGGTTTCACTCACCAGGTCATGGGTAAAACAGTCTTGACTTGGGGAAATGTAGTTTATTAGTATTCAAATCAGACTAGAATAATGAGAACTAAAAGAGAAAAAMCAACTTTCCCACTGAGCTTAGTATTCTTCCTGAATTCTCTTAACTCCTGCCTGAGCAGTGCAGGGGAATGGGGGCTGCGGCCAGTTCATTGCACTTTGTCTCTGCTGCTTGTTCCTCCTCAGGGGGAGGATTTCTCACACTCTTCCCCTGCTCCAGCGTGGGTTCCTTTCATGGATTGCACTCCTTCAGGAACAGACAGCTTCCATCTGAGTCCCCCACAGGGTAACAAGTCACGACAGCAAACCTGCTCCAGGGTGGGCTCCTTTCTCGATGGATCTGCAACTCCCTGCAGGACCCTGCTCCAGCACAGGCTTCCCACAGGGTCACAGCCTCCTCTCAGGCATCCACCTTCTCTGGCATGGGATCTTCCATGAGCTGCAAGTGGATCTCTGCCTCCACAGGCTGCAGGAGCACAGCTGCTTCACCACAGCCTTTACCATGGGCTGCAGAGGAATCTCAGCTCTGGCACCTGGAGCAACTCCTGCTCCTTCTTCTGTGCTGACCTTGCTGTCTGCAGGCTGTTTCTCTCACATGTTCTCATTTCTCTCTGTGGCTGTAGTTGCTGATGCCCAGGTTTGTTTTGCCCCCCTTGATAACTTGGTTATTGCAGAGGTGTTCCCACCGTAGCTGATGGCGAGCAGCAGGTCCATCCTGGAGCCAGCTGGCGTTGGCTCTGTTGGACGTAGGGAAAGCTTCTAGCAKCTTCTCACAGAAACCATCCCTGTAGCCCCTCGGTACCAAAACCTTGCCAYGCAAACCCAATACAACAAGAAAATTAATGGACCTGTTTTATTAAAATGTATTCAGGCTTTTTTTTTWAAAAAAAAAAAGCATTTTGGAATTTTGCAGTAGTGATTAGTTCAAATTAGTTTTGTAATTTACTGAAACAAGCTGATAAACTCTGATATCAGTCCTAACTCGTGACATGTTATTTTTTATGGTGATTTTACTCTGCTGTGAATTTACAGTAAAGCTTGTTTACAGTCTGCCCTAAGTGGTACTCATAATTTGTAATTAAACTGGTTCTATGGTTAGACAAACTTCATCTGTTCTTTTCTTCAGTTAATGTTCGTATTTTTTCACCTGCTTACCAGCAGAGCCCTTATACAAAGCAGTTGTAGATATCAAAATGACCTTTTGAAGTATATTGAGGTTGTGTTTTGTATCTGTTTTTTTTTTTTCTTTTTACACCAAAACAGTGGTAAGAGTGGCTATTTATGGAAGATATTTCGGCGAGAGGGGCATAATGTGATTTTAAGCTTAAAATTGTCCTGGAATTAACAAGTTTTGTTAGATCTTTAACTTGTCATGAGACTGTGGAAGGCTGGAGTATTTTAAAATTAATGTTTCTAGCACTCTTCTTTGTAAAAGACATGTGCACTTGAAATTAGTGGTGTGACAATTGTTTTCCTTCTGGTATCTGTTCTTTCTTCCTGCAGAGTGAAAAATGCCTGTTTTGATTTCTCTTGCAGCCAGCGGTGCTTGATTCCTGTGGGCGCTTCCAGATTGACAGACCTTAAGTGTGTGGGAGCAGAGGGTTGTAGAAAGGGTCTGTTGAAAAGCAGAGATTAATAAGCACACTCCATTTTTTTCTTATGAACTGCCTTGTGTTTGCATACAAGTAATCTTAGGGAGTCTGAATGGAATGCTCTGTATGTGGAAGGTGACAGATAAGCTGAGAGTTTTCCAAGTGGTTATGTCTGCTTATCAGTAGTATRTGGGGAGAAATACATATCTGAGAATCCTCTCTGGCTGGTGGTGGAGTCGAAACAGGGTAGACAGTGATTGCTTGTTTTTAATGTTTGAGGAGTAGGGAGCGAAGGAAGTGATAAATTATCTCAGATACTAAAGACTYAYGACATTCAAAGTTCTTGTAAGTTGGAAATGGGATACATTTAAAAGGTTTGGGTTTTCATGCTTTAGCTTGTGGTATATCTGGACACCATCTGTACTCTTAAAAAGAGACAGGTAATAATATTTAGCAGGAGCATTATGCCAGTAAAATACACCCAATCAAACTCTTCAGGTTAATGCAGTGTAAAACAAAATTTTCAGCTGAGATCAGTCTCTTGAAGATGACGGAAGTACACTAGAATCATTTGGTTAAAAATGATGATTCTACATGAGAACCTGTGATTTGAGAACTTTCTGCATTAATGGTAGTAAATATTTAGAAATAGATTCCCTGTAATATTTTCTAGGTTACAATAAGTATTGCTGTTCCTCTGTTTTTCTGGTAGGTAATGAAAAACACAGTATTCAAGTTGCTTCTCAGCAAGAAGATGGTGAACCTACACTACAAGACATGGCTGTACTTATAGAACAAGTCACTGGAGTTCCAGTTCCTTTTCAGAAACTGATATACAAAGGTAACTTATGAATCTGTAATGTTTCTTACGGATCATAAGCTTTCATCTTAGTTGCTTTCAGGTGTTCATATCTTGAATGTCTTCAAAAAGACATTCTTATGCCACTAACTGTACTTTAACGGGTTTTTTCCTCTCTTGTTCTTCATTTAGGAAAGTCACTGAAAGAATTGGAACAGCCATTATCAGCACTTGGTGTTAAGAATGGTTGCAAAGTCATGTTGATTGGGAAAAGGGTAAGCATTGCCTTTGGACCTTTTTTTCCCTTTCAAACTATCATAATTTTTGTCAGTAAGTCAGCTTCTGAACACAGAAACAAGCTGCAGCATTAACCTAATTTTATATACCTATTCACAAAGCTGAGTTGAGTCTCATGCTGCAAATAACTGCACTTTGTACTTTTCTGCAATTGCACTATTGACTGGCTTCTGATTTACATTATTGACAAGACTCTGCCTAATCTGTGTTTAGTGCTCATGAACCTTCTRTGCACTGATGACCTTATCTGCTCATCTTATTTTTCTGGTTCATAAAATACTTCCTCAGCTGCAGCTACTGAGTCTTGATCATTTGGGTTATTTCTTGTGAAATGACCTGTGGCTGGCACTGGCTTTGCCAAGTAGAGGATGAGGTTATAAGCTTGTCATGTAAATGTTACCTATACTTTAAAATGAAAAGTTAACAAAAAGAAAAAAAAGCACTTTCCCTTTTCCCTTCAAAATAATCTCATTTAATGCATTTAYATACATTGCTGTTTTAACTGAATTTGTAATTAAGCTTTGGAAGAAGYTTATTTGGTAGATATTGAAATATGGAAAGAATAGCCACAGTGTAGTGTGTATTTTAAACCAACAGAGCCTTTATGTCTGTATCACCACTGCTGCTGCTTTTTAGCTGCATTGTATCTGTATTTGTTCCTTAGTTGTGAATTTTGTACTTTTGAATACACAGAATAGTCCAGAAGAAGAGGCTGAATTAAAGAAGTTAAAAGATCTGGAGAAATCAGTGGAGCAAATAGCTAATAAGTTAGAGGATGTTAATAAAGAGCTCACAAGTATCCAGAAGGTATGCCAGTTTTGTATCACTTTATATCTTTGCAAARCACTTTTGTAGGTATATCTATTTAAAAACCCAAACAAAATAGTTTGAAGGTTTTGAGTAGTCAGTAATAGACTGCCTCTCCTAAATGTATAAGTGTCAGTAATAATTCTTAGTGAATTCTGAATGCCATATATGAGTTTGCAAAATAGAGACATGGCACTGTTTGGAAAAAGGTAAATATTGTTTCATATGGGATAGGTTATATTCTTTATATCTGGAAAAAACATGAAGAGTTCTCTCAAAGTCCAAAGAACAATGTCTATTACTTGTTTATCATTTAAGTAAACCTATCAGATCTTATATTTACCATGTTAAGAATTGATAAAATGCAGAAGAATACAGATTAAGATTGGAGTCCCTATTATGCTTGAAAATACAGAAATAGTAAAAGGTATTTTCTGCTTCTGTGGATTGCCAGATTTTCTAAAAATAGTATTGTGTAGGGTATTGGATAACTTTGCTTTTTCTTCAGGGATTTTTAGCAAAGGATCTCCAAGCAGAAGCACTGAAACAGCTGGACAAGAGGATAAAAGGAATTGCAGAGCAGTTCATGAAAACCCTTGAACAGATTGATGCCATTGTAAGTAACTAACCACAGAAGAGGGTCAAATCCCAACAGAAACTTTCTGTGAAGACTGTATCTTACAGTTTATTTGATATATTAATGTACTAAAAAATACTTTGGCTTTGAAAATTAATCAGTTAATCCCTTTGCTATTTTTTACTTTAATATGCGATACTTGTCCATATCTGTCTCCAAAAGACTGCTTGGCAGCCTTGGCAACTTTGGATATTATTTCTTCTCTTTCCAAATGGTGCCATTAATGCCTGTGTGTGAATTCCCATTCTACAGAAGAGCTTTAATTGGGGCAGCTGACTATTCAGACTACATGAAAATGATGTCCTTTGCCCAAGCTTTGCACTTTTAGTTTGTCTTGGCAAACTTTCACGGTAACAGTAAAGGTCTGGGAAAAAAAAAACAGACAGTGAGATACACTTCATATTCTATACAACATAGGAACAAGGAGGTCCTGCAGAATGAAGGATTTTCTCGTCAGTCACATGTGGACTGACAGTACTTTAATTTGAGATATCTGCAGAGTGAGGTCTGGATACTTCCTTTGGAAAGTACTGAGGCATAACAAAGTGCTTCGCAGTCATCAGTGGATCACAACCTTAACATTACATTTCCAGAGTATAATATACGTCTTCCTGAATCATGTAGCTGAGAGGAATAACAGTAGAAGATTTGAGAAGACTTAGAAGCTAGTGRCTGTGTTTAGATTTAGGAAATAATGGAGTCCCTGTGCCTCTGTTTTGTTTCTTGTGAAAGTGGAACAGCCAGAGCTCAAACTAGTTATAATTAGTGTCTTTGAAAATTTGTAATAATTGTTTGTGACTTTGTCATACAAGAGCCTATGACACAGAAAAGCCTCCTTTTTCTCTTTTTTCAAAGAAATAAGAGAGTTTTCATTAGCAGTGATTGAAGCAACATTGCACTTACTTGTTTCTTTTAATGGACAATTCTGCTGTGAGATGTTTCATGGAAACTGGACGTGTGAAATGTTGCTGRTGGAATACATGTAGGTGGGTGGAACCTTTACATAAAATGTAGGAGTTCAGTGTGCTGGTATTATATGAGAACAGGCCACTGACTTASTGAGGGGGTACTTAGTTGTACAGTAGTAGTGCAGTATGCAGAGGTACAGAATGGTAATGAGGGGTGTGTATGAACAACAAATGGGTTCCACTSGAGTAAAAAATGGCAAATAGAAATGCAAAGCAGTGAAGCATAATGCTCACAGAAATATTTTATCTGTATTGTAGAGTTGGTTATAAAAAGGATTCTTTTTGGTAGCCAAGTAAAAAGCAAGTTCTGACAAGTTTATTGAATGCTGTTGACTATGCAGAGGTGCAGTGGACAGAGTCAATGGCATGTTAAACATGTCAGAGGGGAAAAATGTGACTGAGTGAGAAGAATGGATGATGCCTTGTAGAAGTGGAACATACCAGCAAGCTCACACTATAAATGTTCTAGTTTTTTGATTTGGCAGAATCATCACAGCTCATTAAAGTATCTCAGCTCCTGTGTGTTATTTGGATCACTCAAAACTACACAGCTTGATACAAAAAGAGATTGGCTGGTTAAAGAAAGCTAAGGGTAGAGAAGTCTGGATATTATTTCCTCTCTTCTCTAGGAGTATCTTACTTGTAGCAGACAAGCTCATTTATTAGAGAAGCTGAGTTTGGAACTAAATATTCATTTTAACTAGACACTGTGTGTTTGACAACTTTGAACTTAAGGGGCTTGAGAAGTGGAGAAGTCAGTTTATAGTCATACAGTAGTGTGAGAGAAAAAATACAGTGTTGTAACTGCAAGAGGTGTGAAAGAAAAGTCTTGAAGGGATGCTTTTGACTAGAATAGCTGTAACTTAAAGATTGTAATATGAATCTGTTTAAACAACTATATATATAAACCAACAAATATATATATATATAAACAACAAATACTGCTTTCACTGTATTGTGATATTGTGTATTTCACTGTATTATTGTAATATTGTGACACAGTCAGACATTGCYATAAGCCACAGATCTCTGAAGTTTTCTTCAGGAGGAATGCAATTGAGTCTTGCTTAACAATTGAAGATTTGTGTGTGAACATCAGCAGAAGTGCTGTTTATTTCATCAGTTAAAACATTTTGGTCCGGGAATAGAAGTCAAAATACACTACTTATTACAAATCTCAGTGAGAAGAACACAGGAAATGYTTTACTTGGTCATCTGGCACAGGTTTTTAAATATCTTACAAGCTTTTTCAAAAAAGAAATTTTTTTGTAGATCAGTAGGAAAATTTAAATCCACAGTCAGACAGTATGTACTTGAAAACCAGCTCTAATTTGTATGAACACTTTCACCAGTACTGCAATCTGCACGTTCACTTTGTCCTCATTATGGTCTCCTATTAAATGGCAGATTTTTTAATCTAGAAAGGCAAWATTGCAGAGAACAGATTGTTCTAACAACTGAAAAAAGCTTTCTCTTCTGACGTACCAGTCACTGATTTTGTTAACGTAAGTTCATGACAAATCTGTCAAATTGCATCTACCAGTAATGAGGTGTTYGATTATCAGTACTGAGGTATTGATAGTGTTACTGACTCATAGCTGTGCTCTGGWAGCTCATCCTCCTTTCTTGAGGATTTTTTGTTGTTAAAGTTCCTCTGTAAAATTTACTTAGATAACCATGCTGTTCTGATGAAATCTAACKGTCTCCTTGACTCTGCTATACTTCTCATTGGGTAAATCAATAYCTAATTAAAATTTCAAGGATTAAAAGAAAGAAATACTCTGAAAAAAACCATCATTGTGCCTGTAACAAACATTTTCCAGATTTCTGGGGAATTTTTCTGCTTACAACAAAATGAGAACTTATTACTAAACTTCTGAATTTATGTGGATCAGTAAAAATATTATAAGCATTTCTTACTATAATTCCTTAATCTCTCAGCATGAATTGTAAACATGAAATCAAAAAAAGTACATGAGGAAGGTACTTCTAAAGCTCAAGGAGCATTGTCAGGTGAGAAGGAAGGTTTTTTCCAACCTTCTCACATGAAAGGGGAGATGTTCTCCAACTCTTCCTTGTCTGATTTGTGTGTCAGTGTCCCACGTGACTGTTATGAAGACCCTTCCCTGAGCATTGCTGCTGGATTGGAGGGCTGTTTGACTGGTGTGCTTGGGGTCACATGTAAACAGAAGGGTCTCCTCCTGGGCTTTCACACCTTTACTTGGTCTGTTCGTGCCCCAGGCAACATTCAGGGACAAACACCAACAGCGTAAGAGGGACTCCTTCCTGGGTATCCACAGTCAAATATGTTACTGCTGCCAGGGACTGTTAGTGCCCTTGAAGGACTCACTCTAACAGTTTWTGGAATAACACTCGTATAGAAAACTGTTCCCCCTCTTGCAAGGATTTGGACAGGCCCTGGCCGTGGTGTTTCCTGTCCTCCCTCTCTTTAGGCCCCCTTAGAATGCAYTGTGTGTGGGAAGTCGGGCATGCKGACAGTATTCCATCCAGGGAGTAGCAACTGCATTTTCTCCCTATAATTTTCCATATTGTTATAGCTGGGTTGGCAACTTTCCACCCTGCTCCATCCTCCATTTCATCCCCCCATAGCAGGTGTGATGACTACAGTTTCTGTAACTTTCCAGTCAATAATAASTGCACAATAAAATACTATTTGTTCATTTGGATTTTTCAGTGAAGCTAATGAAAAAGCTTTTTGTTAGATGGATGGAGCGTCAATAAAAATCTTTTTTTGCAACTGAATAGCATTGGTGCTATGTGTAGCAGAGTGATTTTTTTTTTTTTTTTTTTTTTTTTTTTTATTAGGTAACAATTCCAAACTATTTCTCACTGTTACTGCAGGTGACATTCAGTGTGGAAGACTGCCTGTGTTAATAATTTGGTTCTGATAAGATAGCCATAAATAATGAATTTTACTGGTTTGCTTTTGTTTATTGATTGACTACGCTGCTATAAAGTAGATTTAGGCATCAGACATTAGGTACTGGGAACTGTGGTTTACGAACCAAAAGAGGAGAACAAAAAGACAGGGTGGCAACACTAAAATGAAAAATTGTTACTGGAAGCAGTCCCAGAACAAATGGAACTTGAGCGGAGCTTTAGGTGGTGTTCTGTGGCAAGGGAAGTGACTTTATTAACAAATCAGCTGTGCGAGGGGAAAGAAGTTATAAGAGAATTTGTGTTCTGTAAGAAGTAGCACTCAGAGAGGAATGCTGGGTTCTTAGGTGCAAGAACACTCAAGAACAGAGAGGATCTAGAGTCAGGAAAATGCACACATTTATTATAATGTAAACAGTGATTGGTTTTGAGGATTTCTAGTATAAAACACGAGTGCTGTGCAAAYGTAAGATGAGTCTTTGAGGCTGTAGTATGTGAGTGCCTGCAGTGCCTGTGAGTCCATCTTGCCAGTTTATCACAGAATACTTAGGGTTGGAAGGAACATTTAGTGGCCATCTGCTCCAACCTCCTGCAATGCCATCTCATGACTCCATGGATTCATGGATTTGTCCTAGCAAGTTTCAGTAATGGAAACTAGGTTGTAGCTTTCTACTCCAGCCCTCATGCTATTGGGAGACAGGAGGGAAAACATGAAATACCTCAGAGGAGTTAAGGAGTGAGTGTTCCTGTAGGAAGGTGACACAGCTGACAGCYCAGTTGGAGTGCCTCACACCAGCCACAGAGCATGAGCAACAAATGGGAGGAGTAGAAACCATTTGCAGAACAATAAAATAAAGGAGAACCTTTTTTTTTTTTGGTTTTTGGTTTTTACAAAAGTTATATATCTAGACCTCCCAACAGGGCTCAGGTTCTRGCTGAAATTAGTGTAGAGAAACCTCTATTCTTGATCTGGAGTTAGGGTGGAAAATAAAAGGTGTGCTAGTGAGAAACTCTCAAGATTTTTATRCATCTTCACCAGTGAAAGAGCAGTGTTTCTAAGAATGTTCACATAAACTTTATATTATGATAGTCATCTATATGGGTGTTTTACCTGTTTAAAAAACTTTCATAAACCTGAACACCATTCCCCAGCAACACCCCAGTTTCACATAGCTCAAAAAAGACAAAGCATATCACATTTGCTAGAATGACATACATGAATATAATGAGGGGTAGGAGTAGAGGAAGTGATGCAGTTTGAATTAAATTAAAAGCTGACAGTATGTAGCACTTCACATCTGTTGCCTTGCATGACTGGACTGCAGAGATGATCAGATGTACTGCTTAGACTGGCAATGTCTGCACTACTGATGATACATTCTAATGATGGCAAGTGCTTGAGTTAATKTATTTGTAAGAAATATGTTCATGGTATGATCTCTAAAAAAATCCTGAAGATGAAGCTTGGCAGAACGGTTAACACAYACCACAGTAGAAAAAGCAGTGTGTATAGTCTATTGCTGTATATTCTCTACAGACACAAGGTAGATTTGCTAGCTCAGTTTTTTGCAGTCAACGTGCTGCATCCCTGACTTTTTAATGACTTTTTCTTACATATTCTTTCTTGTGTAATCATCCTCACTGAGCACGCATGGTATTTTCAGGATGCCTGTTCAGAGGATTCTTTAGTAATTTCAGTTTTTACTGTAAATGTAACATGTTAATTTCAACATTAAGTTGCATCAACTTGTTTATTTTTTACTGCAGAATCTGCCTGAGAATTTCAGTGATTGCAAACTGAAGAAGAAGGGATTGGTGAAGAGGGTTCAGGTAAGTTTTTTCGGTTTGTTTTTGGTGTTTTTATTTTCCTTTTTTTTCCCATTAATGCTGGGCACTTGTATACGTAGAGTTTGTGAAAATGAACTGTTCAGATTTTTTTCAGTGTTTGTTCTTACACTGGCATTTCTTATAAGCTYCCTTTGAGAGGTATCTAACAGATTKATAATACAGCACAACAGCACACAAAAATACAGTTTTTCATATTTCATGCTGTTTTAAGATAATGTTTGCTRTTTACATTAGTGGTTAGTCTTATGGCTGCCTGAAGATGTGAAGTAATTCTGATAACTTGTAAAGACAACAGGATTGATCATTCCTTCTTTTTTGGATCTTGGTGGACTGGARTAATGACTGAGGTCTGAGCACAAGGATGCAGTCARCTRWAACTCCTGTTGACCTACTCCTGACWGTGCCAAATGTGTTCTTTGGAAAATTTAGCTTCTGTTACAATACACCAACTTCCTGTGGAGAGCAGGTCTTTAAGATGTGTACAGAAGAGCAGCTGTGCTGGAGATGGAGGGTTTCATTGCTTTGCTGTTGTATGATGCTTCTGAATTCCTAGGTATTGTTTCCTTAGAGACCTTGAATTGAAGGCTTGTTAATAAATACTGGAATTCAGTACTAATATTGCTCAATATTAATACTAGCTCCCTCCACTCAAACATATATAAATGAATGGTAATACTACTTGTATTACTGTTTTTATTTTATTGTGCTAACATTAGTCCCAGGTTTGGCTTCTAAAAATTGTTTGTGGAAGTACCTTGCATTCATATATAGAGTTTGAATCATTTTGTCTTTTACTGTAACCTTATTAAATACTTCCCATTGATTAGGAACCATAGGTTCGGAACCCTTTGAGGACTGCAGAAGAATCCGAAGAGGTTTCAGACCAGAGCAGTCCACAACAATTTGTTTTTCCAGGGCAAGAACAAGAAAACAGTGGCAAATTATGCTTATTACTCTTAAGTGTTCATGAAAGCAAGGGGAGCTATTGACTGCCTTCTACTGCTGGCAGTCAGACATCTTCCAGGATGGGGAGATAAATATAAAACAGYTGCAGCCAGCAACTGCAGTTGTTACCACCTTTACTTTTTCATCACTCAAGTTTTTATAGACAGGAATTTGTGAGAGCTCAAGGGATTGGCTGTAAACAGATGATTCAGAGATGGCTGGGGAACATTCTCCTGGTACAACAGCTGGCTGCTCTAGAAGGAAGGTGGTTTCTTAGTGTTATTTTAATGTAAATAATCTGGTTTGACTGTCAGAGTCTGGTGCAGACATAGCAAAAAAACAAATGCAAGACATGAACAGCTAATGGGAGAATCTTCTCAGAAAGTCCATTGTACTTGCATAACTTGGGATTGACATAAAACAGTTTATTGGTATAAAGTGCTGGCGTGTTTTGCTGTGTAYAGGATGAGCAAAATGACCAGGGGTTGCTGGCTCCTACTTGCTCTCTGTGTGTTTCTCTTCTTGTGAGAACTCTGTGTGTTGCTCTTCTTGTGAGAACTTGTTGGCAGGTTCTAAGAAAGCTGAAGGTGCTGTGGACTGCCCTTTTTGGACAGGAGCCTTCTGTCTTTTGAGGAACACCAGCTGATAAAGATGAGGGTTCAGTGGTGCCTTGTAGTCTTAAGAAATAGAAAAGGTCTTGGTTTATTGAAGGCTTGTTTTAGATTTGACTTAGCAGGTTTGTCCTTCCCATGCTTGGCCTCTGAAGTATGTGTTTTATAAAGGAGCTTAAAAGTCGCATTCCAGACTGAAGCACTAACCTATCTGAAACTTTATTTTTCTTACTGTTGTTTATGAACTTGGGATCCACTGAAAGCACTGTGGTGCCAGGACTGGTGAGGATGAGCAGCCATGCTACTGCCTTATCCAATGTCAGGTTTCTGTTGGATTCGGGGTAAATGCAGGTGTGGATAAGTTATTATCAAACTAATTGGAAAGTGGTTGTTGAGTTGAAATCTCTAAATTAATGATAGAAATGGCTGGTTCAGTTCTTCAGAAGCACCTCCCACTGCCAAACTGTGTWTCCAATAACATTTCTTTATTTCTTATTCTCAGGTTTTTCTTGCCCAGTGTGATACCATTGAAGGGAATATTGGTCAAGAAATGGACMAGCTACAGTCAAAGAATTTGGCACTGGCAGAATGAGGCATCRCCTTACATAATTAGGAAACATAATTGCTCTATGAGCAAGAAGAAAAGTTTGCTCTTTGTTTTGGAGCACATATCCAGCTTCCTTTTTTTTTTTATTTTTCCCAAAGCCCAGTCTGTTAGACTGGTACCAGTCAATCATTTCTTGCTGGTTGTCTTGTTTGCCGCTTGGTTAGAACTATTATTTTGAAAAGAATATTCTTCCTAAAGAATGGCAGAATTAATCTTTGTGATAAATTGTGTATCTTAWGGATGATAAGATAGTTTAGTTAACTAAGTTATAAAGTTTCAATGGTGGGCAAATTTATCTGATACATCTTTGAATTTATTTACAGCTCAAATCAAAGAAGGTCTATAATTGTACAAGTGCCRTAAGTTGCAGTTGTAGGACTTCACCTTGATTGAAAAAGGCAAACTGAGACAACATCTGGGAAAGTTCAACATYCTAGTAGACAGTTCAGAGCAATAAAAAAACCCAATGCATTTGTATCTACTTAATGTTTGTATGCATTTATAAATATAAGAAAGCTTGACTATAAGGGAGTCGTACCTATTTTAGCCTTAAATTGTCATAATAAATGGAATGTACTGTAACATGTATGGTACTTAATTTTGAGTGGTGCTTTAAGTTGTTACTGAGCTCCTTGATAACAGACGTATGTTTTTTACATAGATTTCTGATGTACTGTGGTTTTTATAGATTATTCGTATTTTTATTATTTGTGTTGTGTCTTGAGTTATGGTAAGAAATGGAATTACTCATGCTGCTTAAATACCAAGGGTTCAGTTCAAGCAAGGTATAACTAAGGAGCTATTTTGAAAGGGTTTTTTTATACTTCTTTCTGATTTTACTGAATTCATGATGCTATATTTAATGGAAAAATGGAGTGATTACTTCCAGTATGTTAAGGCAATCAATGAATTTTTRTAACATGTTGCAAAGAGACACAGCTTTATTTTAGCAGTGCCATCTGTGTGAGGGTTATGACTGTTTCTCRCAGTCACATATGTGCGGTGCTTAACCTTGTCTCTTAGGTGAGAAATGAGCTTTTGCAGGAGACAGTAACTTTGAGTGGGTGCAGCCAACTCKGCAATCCTTGGTCAGAGGCTCTGACCAGAATGTGGAGAATATCAGCCTGCAGGTAACATAAATGTATAGGAGCTTTTTCACTGATGCTCCTCGTTGGGAGGTCAGCCAGACACGCTGACAAAGCAGGGACTGGCAAGGAGCCTCTTTCTGTGCAAGAAATAAAACTCTTTCATCCCAAATGAGTCAGGCTAYGAATGTTTAGAACTGGCCCTTAGGTAGTGAGCCTATATCCATGTTTTAAGGTTAGCTGTCCTTTCAAGATGAAAATAGGAAATGTATGTAAAAAGATCTTAACTTCTAATAAGTTATAAAGCTTAAATAGTACCTAAAGTGTTATTAYTCCAGTATTGTCTTTGATATTTGTAATTGGAGGAATATTTTTTTGGTGAAAAATGCCATTGAACAAATGAAGTGATAGCCGAGCATTAGGAAGAGTCAATTGTATTCTAAAAATGCTGGTTGACCATACCAAGATTTGAGTTGCCTTGTTTTTTGCTGTTMACCAGTTACTCCAAGCTTATATTTTTCCCTTACGGAATTCTCTTATCAGAATCTGTGGAGGATTTAATGGTCTAAACTCCTAGGAACTTTATCTATCAAGTTAGGAAATGGTATGGTAGGACAGTGGAAGTTTTTTCCTAGGCTAACTAGTCCAGTCATTCYGCATTTTCCCAGCACTTTAAGGTTAAGAGGAGGAAGCGTTGGTTGTACTAATTTTTATGAAGCCCTGCTTAGCCTGTGACTGCTTCTGGACCAGATTAAGCTGACTCTTAAACTACCAGCAACACTTGTCTAATTCAGGGAATGCAAAATCAACCACTTTCCTGAGATGGAAAGGATCCTCACTCTCCCCAGTGTAGGTTCTCCAATGCCTTGAGCTTTCACAGGTGCATGTACAATRAGCAAGCATCCTGCTGTGCCCATGGAGAGAACTGGGAGCTGCACTCGTGGCTGTGTCCATTTCTGCTGCTCCTGTGTAGTTCTCTCTCTTGGGTGAAAACACTTAGAGGCAGACATCGTCTTCCTGCACTCTTTCCCAGAAACCGCTGCTTCCTGAGATGTGCTTGTGTGAGTACATCCTCAGCCTGTCTCAGAGCAATCTGGATTAACTTTAGGAYGTTCCATAGCAGATCTTTTCATGATCTGGTACTTTGAGGCAAAGAGAGCAATGGTGAACCTCTCCCACCAGMACATCTGTATTCAGCAGAGGGGGTGTCCTGAGTCAAACTTACCTTGCAGTACTAAGTGGTTCAGTTTCTAGGATGAAAGTATGTATGTGAGGACCAACTTCTGCAGTATAAATTTTTTTTGTCTTCCAAATATAAAATTGAGTTGATTTGTTTTGGAAAGCAGATGGTTGTATTTAGAGTCATCCAAGACATTCTAGAGTGAATTGACTTTTATACTTAGTTTTGGAGAGAGGAATCCTAAACAATTTTTTGTCATAATAGCCTTAAATTCAGTAAAAGCGAGTGTCTTGTGCTTTTGAAAAGTGCAGCAGACSACAATTGTGGGAGGAGGGGGAAGGAAGAGAAGATTTTAAATATTCTTCAGAATTTGTAAATATAAATAATCAAGCTTAAGCTATAGTSTCATGATTCTGTAGTGCAGGTGTACTGTGATACCTGTTTTGCTACTGAATTATTTCCTCAGCCCAAACATCTACCATGATCATGTCGAAAGAGAAGTTACTCCCTTTTGCCTTAGTTGCACTTATCCCATYGTCTTCCTCCGGTTGCTGTGTTGCTCTGGCTGTGTTTACATATCTTGGACTTGCCGTCCTGGCAAAATGTACCACAGGGTTTGTCTTTTATCAGAATGGAAATCGAATTGCACACTCCCTTAGCCCTTTTCTCTCCCAGATCCCATGGGCGGGTGTGAGATGAACCMAACCCGACATTCAGGGAACTGTGGAGTTTGGAGCCATGGGATGGGTTGCTCTCTGGAAACAGCACAAAGTTTTAGTGGCATCCTCTGTGACCAAGTCCTCTGGAAGGTAATGTTGCTGTRAGCCCGGAGCAACACTTTCTGACTTCTAATGGACACTCATGGTTTGGAGTGGACTACTTGACACCGTGGAAGTTGGCACTAGATTATTTTTTTGTTAACTTACGTTATTGTACTACGATAAATGAAAAGATAAAAATAAAAGAAAGTTCTCTGCTCTCTTGGTCGTGTTGAAGTCGCTRAATTCTGCATTTGGGCCGTATTTTAGCGGGGAAGAGGCAGCATGTTCTCGCTGGTACTGCCATGAGCGCTGTGCAGGGAAGCGGGAGACATTGGGATCACCCGAAGGGCGTCGTGATTTGGAGCCTWCCGGGATTGGCAGCGAGACAGAGCTTTTAAAAAGCTGTTTCTAAAAAAAAAAAAAAACAACAAAAAACCCCAAAAAAACCACACCAAAAAACCCCTAACAATAAAAGAACAAAAACCAAACAAACCAGGCACCTTAGTTGGTTGTGTTGCACCCCGTGCACTTGTCTGGTTGCCCAGAGAGGGTGTGGAGTCTCCCTCACTGGAGCTATTAAGGCACTATCTGGACACAGTCCGGTGCAATGTGCTCTAGAGGGACCCTAGAGCAGGGAGATTGGACCAGATAACCCCCTGTGGTCCCTTCCACCCTGACTCACTCYGTGATTCTGTGGTTTCTGGATCTGGGTGGATGGGATGTACTTTTCACTACTTTTTATTTATTTGGGTGATTTGGTGTGMGGGGTGGGGTACGCTTCTAGCACTTTCTACAGAGACGTGTGCCACGGCCGGATTGCTGCATCTGTCGCGTTCTGTTGATGCAAAGACATTAGAAGTTACAAGGTAACTTGTTAGAAACTGCTTGCTAGACAGTGTATATTGCTTACTYAACATTGATTGTGTTTGTCAAAGCAGAATGAGAAGTAAAAAATYATTGACAAAAGCAAAGACTGTGACCCAGCCTGTATTCGTGGAACTCCTGTTCTAATCAAAACCAGAGGTGTTGTTTAGACTTAAGCCAGGAACCCRCAGAGCATGCACAAAACAGAAAGGTGAAAAGTTCAAGACAGGAGGATGAGTATTTTACTTCCTCCC